ACAGGAAGAACCCATTGTGTTTAGTTTATGTAATAAAAAACCCTGTTTTTACATTCAGAGTTGGTTTTGCAAGACAGCTGGGGGGAAATGCAACAGCTTTCCATCTTTACAGACCTGGGTCAAACTGTTTTGGGTCACAAGAATTCTCAGTCCTTGGTATCTTTGTTAACTGGCTCTCTTACTTAGGTTCTGCCTGAGGCCTGTAGTTGTATTGTATATTAGGATTTGGTGCATTGCCAGAGCTGTGGAAACCTTCACAGTACATAAGAGCCCAATGATTATTTCTGGTCAATGGTTTTCTCGTAATTTCATGAGCAGTCCCATTCCTTAGGTTTAGATAGATTTCGTGAGATGACACTGTAGGAATTTGGCTAATGTATTTAGTCATAAGTCGTGTACTTTGTCCACCTAGCCTCGCCTTTCTAGGGGAGGGAATATTCAGACGGAGCTTGCTACAATACAGTTTGCTTTATATTAACAAGGATTCCAAGACTATTACAATGAACTAAGGGGATTGATCTTCTGAGACTACGTAGTTAGTTTTGGGTAGAAATGACCTGATTCCTTATTAGCTTCTTATTTCTGACTTGTAAGGTTTCTGTATTGCTGATCCTGCTTCCAGGTGGTGGTAGTGGGTTTTTAGAAAAAGAAATTCCATAAGGGTGGTATGATCTCTTGAATTCTGGATAAAGCAAAGACATGGGCATTAAAGATAGATTTGAGTGTGGGTAAATATTTAAACATAAAAACACAAACATTGCCATTGCAAATAATTCGTTTGGCCTCTGTTCCCTGTTTGACATCTGCCTCTTCCCCTATACAACTAACAAAACTATGGGAGTAATCATGATAGTAATTTATTTGGATACCATCGCTTTCTCCCTTCTTGGGCAGGGATTGTCTGTTTCTTTGTATAATTTTCATTACAATGGGGCCCCGATTCAGAAAGGAGCCTTTGGGAACTGTGCTACTGTTATTTGGTGTTGGCACAAATTTAGCCTTCAGTTCTGCAAGCTCATATCAGCTGGTGGATCACTATGCTGAACTTGGATAAAATAAATGGAGCTATTTTGCTTCCACAAGTATCAGTGTTTAAAAAAATGGAGGTCAATATTCATTGTTAAGCAGGTTCTAGAACAGGGGTGGGCAAAATACAACCCATGGGCTGGATCCAGCCCACCAGTTGATTGTATCTGCCCCACAGCTGACTTCATGGCACTCTGCATGGGGCCAAGCAGCAGCCCATGCCACACTCCCACCTGTACCCTCCCCACACTTGCTGATGGGACTGTCCCAGCCAACATACACAGCTTCCTGGTAGGGCGGCGGCGGCTGCTGCTGCTGCTGCAGCCACCTAGATGCTGCTGGGCTCCTTCTCCTGCCCCTGCTGTACCACTCTGGGCAGCAGGTATTAGGGGGAAGCAACGGTGGCCATAGAGATCTGTGCGGGGCACCATGTTTCCAGGCAGGTATGGGGGGAAGGTGCAGCTAGGCTCCTGCCTCGGTTCATGGGGCTCCAGCTCCTGGGTGCCTTCCACCCACACCCACCTGTCTGACACAACAAGCAGTTGCCTGTGGGAGCCTGAGTGGGTGGAAGGCAGCCCCACCAGGAAGCTGTATGTGCTGGCCACGGCCTGGGCTAGTGCTGGGGCAGTGCCATTGGCTGGTGCAGGCAGGGTTTGGCCCTATGCAGAGAGCTACGGGGACAGCTGTGGTGGGCCAGATGGGGGAGGCAGATGGCACGTGCATCATACCACCTGGGCAAGCTGTACTGTGCAGGACTCCTCCCACCCCTCTCTCTTCCCCCACTCCCTCGCTGACTGACTCCTGTGACCTAGCGTGCCTCCTGCACACATGCATACCTGCCCCCCCCAAGCCCTCTGCCCCAATATACAAAAGTAGCACTTTTTTTTTGAGCTATTATGCAACCACCTCTATATACACTACTCAAAATAAGTCAAGACAAAAATTATTTTTGAACTAAAAATGTTATAGTAGATGTTTGATTTTTAGTATATGATTTATTTTGTATCTATAAATAGTTAAAATTATGTCATCTGAAAGATTTTACGTGTGGCCCTCAACAGCTCATAAAAATTTAAGTGGCCTGTCAGCTGAAATAATTACCTGTGCCTGTTCTAGAATGACTCTAATCTTCTGATTTTAGTCAGTGCTGTATAGTCCATGCAAAAATTATAGAATATTTTAGTTGATCCTTATATTCTTTTAGAACCTGAATTTTTAATGAAATAATAAATAAAATGTTTTGAAAGCATAACAGGTCAGTAATTGAACCATTTTAACTCTCAGAATTTTCATGGGAGAGAGGGTACCTCTTAAATAATCAGTTCAATTTGGGGTTATTGCAAGCATACATTATGGGCAGGGCTGTTAATCTGAAGTTGAAACCTGCATATTCAGTTATTTCTGCAATAGGGAAATGATAGTTTGCTGATTTTAATATTCATGTTCATACTAGTAAAATAAATTATTCTATTCAGTCAGTTTGTATGTTTTTATTAAACTAATCAGCTTCTGGTGCACTTCCATGAAAAAGTGGTGTGGTTTGATCCCCGTACAATCACTTTAAAAAAAAAAAAAAAGTCTCAGCTTTTGGAATTGCAAACAATGAATGATTAGCAAAAGTTGTACTGGATAGGAACAAAGAAGAATAGTTTACTGTGTAAGAATCTGGTAGTGTCTGGTAAATGAGGTCCAGAACCATGCATTCCACCACCTAGTGCTGTCCTGCCTGTGCTTCATTTTTGGTTTTGTGACTCCCTGACATCCACATCATTTTCATGCCATTTATCACTTCCCAGCAGATTTTTTTTTTGAGGTGGAGGGGAGGGGCAGAGTTAGTTGTTTGTTTGTTTTGGGGTGGGGGAGGATTTGCTTGAATGTTTTGGCTGGTGGAGTGCATAATGTGAAGCAATTAACTGTATGCTTTGTACAGTAACATGTTCGGGGAGGGTAAATGCCTAGACTCTCAAAACCACAGGTTCAGATCTGTTAGAGTGAACTCTGGCTTCTAGATCATGTTCCATGTGGTTGCCTTTATGTGCAGATGCCTGTATAGGAGCTCAAACATTTAAATACCTGTCTGCAGTGTACAGACACACAAGAACCACAGAAACTTCTAAGAAGTAGAAAGCATTTGCCTTGGTGTGTAGTCAGATTCTCCAGTTTTTGTCAGCTGTCATTCCGTGTACTTCATGCCGTTTGTATTCCATCCTCAACCTGGTCAATGTTTGCATTTGAGTGGTTGTGGATGCATATTGTTTAATGAATTGCATCCATGGGCAGATCTAGGATTTCGAAAAGTGGGATACAGATGGTGTGGTGCATCATCACGTACATCACAAAATGTTTTTATTCTAGGGCTATTTTATTCAATTTAAGATCAAAGCGAAAACAAATGCAACTTTATTGTAATGTGCATTAATTTGTTATATCATACATTTTTGTATTGGAGAACAGAACAAACTAGGAAAATGATTTAAATGTTTCTTCAGTCTGGTAGCCTCAATTAAATGTATATCTCGGATTGATGAAATCAAGCTACTTTACTGAAAATTATTTCCACACTTAAAATAATATTCACTTGAGTCAGTGTTTTTAGCAAGAGCTAAAAACAGTTTAGTTTGTAGGGCTGTGAAAGAAGCTATGGACACCTATACACAAGTGTGGGGGCTGCTCCGGCACACTGGACTTCCAGTGCGTTGGCGCAGATGCAGTTAATCAAGTCTGTTAGAGCATAGCAGTTGCCGCACTCCAGCAGCCTCGTGCATCAATGTCCCTGCATGTAAAAATGGTGGCAGGGCACTTGAACTAAAGCTCGTTGTGCTTGACAGATGTCTGCAGTGGGTCTTATGGTTTCCACATTCTGCTCGGAGTTTTCATTCATTTACTTGACTCCTTCCTTTCTCTTTGCTGGTCCCTAGAGACGTTTTCTTGATGCTTTTATATTCTCCTTTCCTCTGCAGCCCTTGGCTGGTGACTAAAGTCGGTATCTCTAGCCCCATGTCAAACAGTTGGCTGCTGGGAGCAGCCTTGCTTCCTTTTATGGGAGTCAGGGACAGGGTAGCCATCTTGCTAATGGCAGTGTATGGCTCCAGTTCCATTGACAGTAGTGGGAGAAGGTGGTCATTTTGGACAAAAGCGAACTTCACAGGCCTGAAGGAATTAATCAGAAATTCATGAAAACTGTTGGGGTTTTTTTCCCCTTGTACTTTTTTTTTTTTTAAACCAAGTTCTGTGAGCATTGGTAAAGCTGCATTGATGTGGGTGCATGCCACACTTGCTGCCCTTGCATTTTCCCTTCCCACTGACCAACGAGCTATCATTCCATCCCCTTCCCTTTCCAGAACCCAAGGCCCTTGCAAATCTTAATTCTAATTCCAAAATTTTCCTAGAAGACCCTGTTCAGCAAAATGGTCAGAATATGAAATAATCATTTGTCTTTGGTGATGCACCACAAGCTGAAATAGTGCTATGACATTTTTGAAGGGATGGATAAGGATATAACAGTACTCATAACTTTCTGTATCTTTTTCCCATTACTATGGGCCTGAGGAGTTCCAGCTCCAAGATTGCACATTGTGCCATGCCCAAATTAGATTGCTAATTAGTACATGTAATTTGAAAAGTAGCATGTATTCTGTTTTAGTAATATGTTACTTCTTAAAGGCCATTATTTGATGATAACCTTCTGATTTTATAAATGTAGTAATCCTTTTTTGAGTTTTAGTGAAACCACTGCTTTAATGAACCCAGAATTATTGGATTGATGAAGTGCTAATAACTTGTTACTGCACTGTTAAAGTTACTAAGAATCATGCTATTGACTAAAGTGAAACCAGGACTGAGAGCTGAGTGAACATTTTCTGTCTGAACAGGCCTAGCTGGTCACTTACTGTTTTATTATTCATTCTGTTAATTTTGAACCAATACAAAACTTTTAACTTTAACTGTGCTGTTCTAAATAACTTTCCTAAACACAAATATGTGTTTTGTTCTCAAAGGTACCAGCTCAGGAGGGCTTTGGAAAGTCTATTTCAGTCGGACAGCAGCAGGTAACTGAAGATTTTTTTTTCTCTACAATATGCAGAAAATGTCTGATAAACCTGTAAACCATTGACTACAATAAGAGCTTTTGGATGTTCAGCCTTATCAATAAAAATAAACCACTTTAGTTTCAAAATATGAAATTACAGGTCTAAATTCAGACCATCAAGTTTGAAAAATTTAGCTTGTATAAGAAATGAGAAGTACCCTTTTGTGTCAGGAAACTGAAAGGGAATGCATTTTAGTTGGAAAGAAGGCATAGATGTGATCTGCCCCTTAAAAATTAGTAAAAGTCTTTGGAACATTTACTTAAGACATAAGTTATGAAAGAGGAGTTTGTATGGTTCTGCTTTCAATATAAAAAAGGAATACCCACTTCCCCTTCCAGTTGTCACATTGGTTTTCCCAGACTTGAATTTTATAAGTATTCTGGTTTATTAAATGGAATCAGGAATTGGAAACTTAAATTGTCATCATTTGTCAACTTTAAGATTGTCATCTTGGGTTTTATGAAAATGGCCATTTTATTGTGGATTATATGGACCGACTATATTGTAAACTGTTTAGGCTTTATAAAATTCTGGGGGATGCAGGGATAAAGTTGTAAAGAACCTTTTCCAGAGTTTTGTTCTAAGGCATTCTGATGTTGATTTCCTTTCTGTGTTCGTTGAACACATGCAAGAGAAAGAGGTGGATTGGTTTAGTGGATTAAAAATGGAGCTGAAAGTTAGGAAGGCCTGCATTTTAACTGCAGCTCTGCTAATGGCTACTGCTGTGGTCATGGACTACTCCCTTCAGTTCCTTGAATTCATTTCCCTGTTAGTGAAATGGGGCTGATACCACTTCTTTATTAATAGGGTGCCTTACCATATCACAAGCATTAATTAGCTTAGTAATTTGCACAGTGCTTTGAATATGAATGAGGCTGCTATTTAAATGGTATCAGCCCCTATTATTAATATTGCTGCATGGAGGCAGGGATCTTTTAATTTTTTAAGCAATATAGCTTTGTTTTCACTAGAAACTGCTTCTCCAAAATCCCACAGATAACAAATACACTTCTCAAAACTGGTAGGCAGTCTTTAGCTGGATTCCTTTGTCTTTGCGTTTTGAAGCAAATAATAACATGAGCTACTGAATTGGCATAGTAGAAGAACAGGTGTCATGCCCACCAGTCTTAAAAAGGGTTTTAGGTTTTGGGTTTTTTTGGGTTTTTTTCCCCAGCAGCAGAGAGTACAAAGTTAAGTAAATGTACTGAAACCTCCAAACAGTTTAACATGGGAGAATTCAGTTAACAACTTATCTTCTGTTCTGATAATGATGCTTTTAAGAATATGGACAGACAGACAAATTGTACAAAGTCAAGAGGAGAAGACCTGTTATAAGTTGGTTTCCATGGTAACTTTTTTGTGTCATGCTATGGCAAGGGGAGGCAACTTATTCCAAATTTGGCAAGACAGAAGTTCTCGTGTTTAGCTTTCACTTGCCGTGGATTAGGAGTAGACGCACCAAAAAGTTACCATGGAAGTTATCCTGTGTCTCCTTTTTATTATATAATTTGTTATAGTCTGTCCCTGTCTTCAGAAAATGAGAAATCTGATACAGACTCTAGCCTTACATTTTCCAGAAAAAAATATATTGTATACAAAAATTCCTTATTACTCAAATAAAATACTGAAGCAAATAATTCCCTACTCCTAAGTGAAGTTCTTGGTCCTTCAAGGGGTTGTGAGGGATCTTAGGTGAAGTTTCCTGATCACAGGCCCCAGTTCTCTTGGGGAGACTTCAGTTACCAGACATCTGCAGGGAGCAGTGCACAGACCATCCAGGAAGTTTTTAGAGAGTGTTGGGGACAGCTTCCCAGTGCAAGTGCTGGAGTGGCCAACTAGGTGCCATGCTCTTCTTGACCTGCTGCTTATAAACAGGGAAGAATTGGTGGGTAATGAAGTAGTGGATGGCAACTTGGGCAGCAGTGATCACAAGATGGTTGAATTCAGGGTCCTGAGGACAGGAAGGAAGGAGAGCAGCAGAGTAATGACCCTGGACTTCAGAAAAGCAGACTTTGACTCACTCAGGGAAATCATGGGGAGGATCCCCTGGGAAGCCAATCTGAGGGGCGAGAGGAGTCCAGGAGAGCTGGCTGTACTTCAGAGAAGCCTTACTGAGAGTGCAGGAACAAGCCATCCCATTGTGCAGGAAGACTAGCAAGTATGACAGAAGACCAGCTTGGCTCAGCAGGGAATTCTTCAGTGAACTAAATCACAAAAAGGAAGCTTATAAGAAGTGGAAACTTGGACAAATAACTAGGGAAGAATATAAGAGCATTGCTTGGGCATGCAGGGATGAAGTCGGGGAAGTCAAAGTGTGATTGGAGTTGCAGCTAGCAGGGGATGTGAAGGGTAACAAGAAGGATTTCTACAAGTATGTCAGTAGCAAGAGGAGGATCAGGGAGAGTGTGGGTCCCTTGCAGAATGGGGGAGGCAACCTTGTGACAGAGGATGCAGAAAAGGCTGAAGTGCTCAGTGTCTTTTTTGCCTCGGTCTTTACAGTCAAGGTCAGCTCCTAGACTGCTGCACTAGGCAGCATGGTTTGGGGAGGAGGTGAGCAGACCTCAGTGGTGAAAGAACACATTAGGGACTACTTAGAAAAGCTGGACGTGTGCAAGTCTATAGGGCTGGATAGGATGCACCCAAGAATGCTGAGGGAGTTGGCTGATGTGATTGCAGAGCCAATGGCCACCATCTTTGAAAACTCATGGCGATCAGGAGAGGTCCTGGATGATTGGAAAAGGGCAAACAGAGTGCCCATATTTAAGAATGCAAAGAAGGATCCAGGGAACTACAAACGAATCAGCCTCACCTCAGTTCCCAGAAAAATCATGGAGTGGATCCTCAAGGAATCCATTTCTAAGCACTTGAAGGAGAAGAAGGTGATTCGGGACAGTCAGCAAGAATTCACCAGGGGCAAGTCATGCCTGACCAACCTGATTGCCTTCTTTGATGAGGTGACTGGCTCTGTGGATGTGGGGAGACTAGTAGATGTGGTGTACCTTGATTTTTAGCAAGGCTTTTGATACGGTCTCTCACAACATTTTCACAGGCAAGCTAAGGAAGTATGGGCTGGGTGAATGGACTGTAAGGTGGATAGAAAACTGGCTGGAGCATTGGTCTCAGAGAGTAGTAGTCAATGGCTTGATGTCTAGTTGGCAGCCAGTATCAAGTGGAATGCTCCTGGGCTTGGTCCTGAGGCTGGTTTTGTTCAATGTGTTCATCAACGACCTGGAAGATGCACAGAGTGCACCCTCAGTAAGTTTGTAGGTGACACCAAGCTGGGGGGAGTAGTAGGTATGCTGGCGGGTAGGCCTAGGATTCAGAGTCACCTAAACAAATTGGAGGCTTAGGCCAAAAAAAAATCTCATGACATTTAACAAGGACAAATGCAGTGCCCTGCACTTAGGACAGAACAGTCCCACTCACTGGTACAGGCTGGGGGCTAACTGGTTGGGTAGCAGCTCTGCAGAAAAGGCCCTGGGATTTACAGTAGACAATAAGGTGAATATGAGCCAGTAGTGTGCCCTTGTTGTAAGGAAAGATAACGGCATACTGGACTGTATTTGTAGGTGTGTTGCCAATAGGTCAAGGGAAGTGATTATTCCCCGCTATTCAGCACTGGTGAAGCCATGTCTGGAGTACGGTATTCAGTTTTGCCCCCCCCCCCAACTATAGAAAGGATGAGGACAAATTGGAGACAGTCCTGTGGAGGGCAACAAAAATGGTGATGAGGCTGGAGCACATGACTTCTGAGGAAAGACTGAGAGAACTGGGCTTATTTAGTCTAGAGAAGAGAAGACAGAGGGGATTTAATAGCAACCTTCAACTATCTGAAAGGGGATGGAGCTGGACTGTTCTCAGTGGTGGCAGATAACAAAACAAGGAGCAACAGTCTCCAGTTGCAGAAAATGAAGTTTAAGTTAGATATTAGCAGGAATTTTCTCACTAGGAGGGTAGTAAAACACTAGAACAGGTTACTTAGAGAGGTGATGGAAGCTCCGTCCTTGGAGGTTTTAAAAACCCAGCTAGACAAAGCTTTGGCTGGGATGATCTAGTTGGGGAGTGGTCCTGATTTAAGCAGGGAATTGGACTAGATGACCTCCTGAGGTCCCTTCCAACCCTAACTTTCTATGTTCTACCATGTCAAAGACCTGGCATCTGTTTATCTGTGCCAGACATTGTTCCAAGTGTTGTACAGAAAACTAGCATACAGTATATGTATCTTGCTGCATGATGCATTCTTTAAGAGCCCACCTGCAAGCTATGTGAAAACAACTGTGGTGGTTTAGAGTCTGAAATGATAGGTTTTGGACTTCAAACAAGTCTATAGAAATCTTAATGTGACAGAGCTCTAAGTAGTTTAGCTGATTTTGTGGCCTATTGTGATCGTTAGGCATCTGCATAGAACTTGAAGGGAGCCTCGGCCAGTAATTTCTCCACTGGGTCCAAAATTTCTGTTTGACTTGTAGCTCTGTTTTTTTTTTACAAGGATAACCAGTCTTGATACAAAGCCTGCTGCTTCACCCAGACTGACTCCTGGGATGCCACACTTTCTGACCACAGTTGACAGGACATACTCAGTCACACAGGCTCTAAAACCTTTGCAAGGGTAGCAGCAAAACTATAACTTCTTTGCTTTAAGTACTTCTTTGTATAAGTTTCTGTAAATAAGTAAAATATTTTCACATCACAAGCCTTATTAAGATTCTCAGCAGCTCACTTAATGCTTCAGGCACAAGCATCAGTACTCAGTCAATACTGACAGTTCGGAGAGGGTTAACATAGGATTTTGCCCCTGCAGTTTGCTCAGCCATACGCAGGAAGCAGCCATCATGGCATGCACAGTGTCTCTAGGAGTCAGGGTTGGTAACACAATTTTTTTTTTTTTTTTTAACTGATAATGTGTAAGCTCTTTACTGACAGCCAAACTTTTTTTTTACTGAAATATTTTTACTGAT